GCCTCATGTTTGAGCTTGTTTTTCTAGTAAGTGTTGGCTTGTTTTCAGCCTATTTTTGGCCCTATTTCAGCATGGCAATTGATTCCGGTGGCTTGGATTGGTTACCCCACAAGACTCTGTAAACTGTCCCGACATTGATTCCGGTTAGTTTCTACAAGGGTCCAGCAAGACTCCGTAAACTGTCACAACAACTGTCACAACATTGTCTGCTACAACGGTCCGACATGACCCCATCAACTGTCCTCTACATCGGTCCGACACGAGCCAGTGTCTTCTACATCGGTCTGCCATAACCATACAGTCTTCTACAACGGTCTGACACGACCATACAGTGTCTCCTATCCATTTTTTCTTGTTTTGTTACTCTCTCCAAACTCAAGTTGGTTAGTTCCTATCCCCCTTGAGTTTGCGGGGGGCTGTTAAAACCTACCATCACCTACTCCACCTACTACACCTACTACCACCTACTACACACCTACCACTACCACCTACTACCACCTACTCCACTACATCTCCTATATAAGGAGCCCCTCACCAACATGACAGAATTGAACATAGAAAAATCCTTCTCTACTACATAGAAGAAACACTTAAAGAGGGAAAGTTGCACCAAAGCCAAGTTTAAATTAAATAGGTTGGCATCATTGAAACATAGAAGCACACGAACTAGAGGGTTGGTTCCAGGGCCAATTTTGCGTAGTCAAATCACAATTGTGATGTCAAGGGTTGCATACAAACTGAATGTTGAAAAAGGGCTTCAACATACTACACAAAACTAGATTACCAATGACAGATAAGAAAGGAAATTGTTCTTACCTTGGTCAATGACTGTCTGGTTTCCCCTTATGGCCTGTATGGCATTTTTCAAGGTGTTCAAGGAAATTTGGAAATCCTTAAATAATTGCTTCCCAAATCGATTGTCTTGTGTAAAACCAAGCACCAAATGCTCAACTGACACAAATGAATCACCATACTCTTTTTTGTAGTCCCTGGCTCGCTGTAGCAGGCCTTCTAAATCACGTCCTAAAATTGAACCAGCTGACTCACCAAGAACCTAAATTGATAGGACATTGGTAGACATATTACAAAAAAAGGATAAAAGATTAGCATGGATGGATTTCAAAAACTATTGTGTTATCTGATAAATAAACCTTTTTGAGTCTAAGTAATTGATCTAATGCAAGGTGCAATATATCCAAGATTATTTTAATTGTATTAACTGAGAAAATTAATTAACCTAATAGAAGGTGCAATTTATCCCATATGATTGTAAGAGCAAACAGTAATCCTATAATACAGACAATTCAGCCCACTTGGAGTATCAATAAGGTGTTTATGTCCTGCATACTCTTCTGAGTGGAGGTCATAATAAATAATTTGGATTTAGACTGAATGGCTAGTTAAAATAATATGAGTTTGTATCTAGAACTATTTTTCATGATATTTAAGCAAATTCAGCATTTACATTTAACCAATTATTGTATACTTCAGCCAAATATAGGTTTCTAATTTCTAGGTAGATGAATATTTTACAAGCAAGAAACAGATCACAAAGTTTCCCACAAGCAGAAATATATCTCTGGGGTGAAATAAGATAGAATTTAGAATCTAAGATATTACCTTTGGTTGGCGTTGGATGAACTTGTCGGTAGCTTCCAGAAGACGGGTATTGTCAACCCCGGCCTTGGAGAAGATACGGCGAGCAAGGCCATTCTTCTGCTCCAGTAAGGCCTTCATTAAATGCTCTGTCTCCACTATCTGATGCTTGTTCTCTTTTGCCACCTCTGGCGAGGAAACAATAGCTTGCCAAGCCATTTCTGTGAATTCTTGTTGTGTAATCTATCATCATATCAACCCCGTCAATCAATACGCCCAAAATTGCACTCAAAAGTTCCACATTAAGCACAATTTCACTATTATTACTATTACATATACATCAATGAAAGAACCAAGCTAAGATCATCTCAAATCCATACTCTCCTTTTTCATCAAATTTGAATAAAATTTGGTTAATAGCTTGATCTGATACGGAACACTCCAATCCTTAATCACTTTTTTCCATCAAATCTTTTTGAAAACCTTTTTTTATGAAAGAAAACTATATCCAATCCTTACTATTTTTAAAATTTCACAAAATTTGAGTAAAAATATGACTGTCAGAAATTTGGTGAGGGATTTGGTTCATCCTTGATTGGATACAGACAGATTTGATGAAATGATTGGAGCACACTTTTATCCAATTTTTTCAGCAAACTTGAATTTGATGAAAGATTAGAGATGCTCTAAACTTGCTGATTGTTTATCTCCCAAATGAACTGGGTTATTGTCTAGCTAAATTGAAGACAATTTCAAATTACAGTTGATATCATGGAGAGGAATAAAAAATAAAATAAAAACATTATTTATTTGTTGGAGATGTTCATGCATTCACAACCATATCCTCTCATTCATCAGAGTAACAAATCCATGTAATATAAGTTGGGGAAAATAAAATATCATGTGAATTGATCATAGTAACAAAATCAACTGAAACAGAAAATTAACTATAATATGCATTCAAAGAATTACATATAGTTTATGACTTACCCTTCCAGTTGAACCATCGCATCGAACAACAAACGACTTCGAATTCCTTCTAAACCGCTCGACTCTCCTCGTGACAAACACATGGCTCTTCTTATTCAATCTCAACGAATTTAGGGTTTTGAGAGCCATAGGTTTGGAAGAGAAGCTCACAGATAGAGGTGGCTGAGAAAACAAAACGGCTCTGTCACCGCCGTTGGACGGTGGTGGAACGCGAAGTCGGACGCCGGAGGACAACGTCGCAGCGGCCATTGTGGAATTCCGGCGAAGATGAACGGTGAGGCCGGAGGTCGTCCCCGCGAGTATGGGGGTTTAAAGGGAAATATGGGGAAAAGCAAGGGCTTTGCGTGGGAATTTAAAAAAGTGGGAATGTTTAGAGTTTTGAGATGGAGTGTTCTGTGAGTCTCTCGTAGGTTCGAGGAGTGTTTGGGGAGAGAAAAAGGAGTGTTCCAGAACGAAAATGGTATTTTGGATGGCGCCAGATTATTGTGTGCATCGTGCATTCTGTTCATACACGTGGTTAGTTTGCATATGAGGATTGGCTAATTTTAAATTTACCCCCACTGTGGGACCCAAATATGATTTTCAGATTTATTTTTAAAAAATATATTAAAAATATAAATTTTATTAATATATATTTTTATTTTTACATTTAGATTTAAAATATGTATATTCCATAATTGAATCCCATTAATCGGCACATATATATGAACAAAAATGCTTTATACCCCACTTAGGGTTGACTCCTAGTGAGGTGGAGGCCCGGAACGAAAATGGTATTTTGGATGGCGCCAGATTATTGTGTGCATCGTGCATTCTGTTCGTACACGTGGTTAGTTTGCATATGAGGATTGGCTAATTTTAAATTTACCCCCACTGTGGGACCCAAATATGATTTTCAGATTTATTTTTAAAAAATATATTAAAAATATAAATTTTATTAAAATATATTTTTATTTTTACATTTAGATTTAAAATATATATATTCCATAATTGAATCCCATTAATCGGCACATATATATGAACAAAAATGCTTTATACCCCCACTGAGGGTTGACTCCTAGTGAGGTGGAGGCCCGTGATTGGGCGAAATATATGAGCTTGGATTTCATTCCCAATTAATTTTTGTACGAGAATATCAATCCTCCCATTGCTTTTGTCACTTGTATTTTTATTTTTATTTTTTTGTGTATTGAATGAGTCTTGTTATAAAATTTAAAAAGTAAAAAGTAATAAATTATTCCTAATCCTACTACCACCTATTTACATGATAGCTATTTGAGTGACTAATGGAACTTTGTGTCTATGTAAATGAGTTTAAATTTAAATATGAGTTATAATAGTTTGATGTTACTACTCTATTAAAATAGGAAATTAATTTTTGTCTATACTTGTCTAACTCTTATTCGATTTCATGTCTAATTTAAAACTAAAAGCCTCTCTTGAACTTGGCCATTCCGAATGAGTTGCTATGAAGTTTGGTATTCAAAGGACACAACCACGGAACAAATGACATTTTTATTATTTAGTATACGAGAATTTGATAATTGAATTAGCAAAGCTTCAAACTCACATTTTCCTTATAACCTTTTGCGCTTTATTTTTTGTCATCTTGACTCTCACAACAAGAATAGAATACATCTCTCTTTTTTTAATATTTCACACTTTTTTTTCTTGTCCTTCATAATTTACTTATATTTTTCAGTAATTTGTTTTCTTAATAACTGCATTAGATTGCTTTATTAATCTGTTAATTTTGATGCTATGTATTCATATTTTATTAACAAGAGGGTGTAAACATTGTTTAATTCAATGATTCATAAAAAATAAACATATTTAGTTGGTTCATATTAGCCAAGAAAAATTCCCAAAGTCTAGCAAGTTGTCCTGGAATTGGCTGACATCATTGCATGAGGGTTTTTTTTCCTTGTTTTTTTGGCCTGCACAAACCTTGTTCTGTTGGGCAAGACAATTAGGAGCTCAAGCCTCTAACATTCAGTGCACATAACCCAATAAAATAAAATAAAAACCCTTATCTCACTCTATTTTCTTTACCTATCTTTTTTTTTCATTTCTTTTCATTTTCCTCAATAAATCCAAGATCCCTACATAGCATCATTACAAAGCTAGAGAAGTTAATTTTGATGTCCATTATATTGCTCAATCAAATAGTACAAAGTCATCACTGCATTAATTGAATATATCAATCATCATATTCTACTTCTTCTTAAATGAGGGTGCTTGGAAAAATTAAATTGCACTGGCAGGTCAGATTGTGCAACTATAAATCATATTATCAGAACATGTCACAAGTTTTCCCATTTAAAAAATTGAACCGAAGAATCCTCTTAAAAGAAGATGTAGAGATGTGTGGTGAAACTTAACAAATAAACATAACATTTGCAAAATGGAAGTGAAATCAACATCACACACAGTGGTATTCTTTTCTGTAACAGGTACACCAGCGTGGTATCTGTTGCACAAGAAATTTCCTATAGACACATGAACCTGCTCCAAAATTGATGACCAACTAGCCCTCGTTGGTTAGCAATTCAATGATTTGAAAATCTATGCCAACTCTGGAATTCTTTATCTGCAGAGTAGGAAGAACAGAATTGTCAATTTTTTCCAAATAATGAGAGTAGCAATGAGTGGAAAGAATAGTCAAGAACCTACCAATGAAGCTTTTCCGGCCCTCCAAACAGCAATTTATAAAATAACACATGCACACTTGTTCTGCATTTGTTCATTTGACACTTTCTTTCCTGCTCCATGAGAGATTTGAAAAGTGAAATTACCAGAAACATACAAATTGAGGCAACAAATTTGAAAATTTACGTAATGAAAATTATGTTAGACCACCAGTTATCCCAAAACTATAAACCGTCAAGAAATGAGCTCATCAATGTATATAAAACTATCCAACACTCACCTTCATGTGTGAATCTAGTCTCACACATAGAGAGGCAAACAAACAAACAAGGTGCACCAACACACATGGAACAAATTGCACAATAACAAACATAACGAGGAAATAGACAGATTGTGAGACTCGAACCAATGACCTCCTGATACCATGTTAGATCATCGATTAACTCAAAAGCTTAAACTAATAGGAAATGTGCCAGAAAATGTATATCAAGATATCTAACAAACTAATTCATTTGTTAAAATTGCATAATAATTTCTCTCAGAGAAAAGCATACCATTATCCAATGGTGGAGGTTGAACTACGACGTGCATGGTTGTAACTCCCCCAGGAACATCACATAATGGGCTTCTGCAATCTCCCACTGTTCTGTTGTTCTCCAGAATTTTTCCTGCACTAATCAACTTGACATCTTTCACTGTCCTTGGACCATTCTCCTTGTCTGATAAAAAATAACACTGGTTAGAGGAAAGACATCAACATCCTTAGAAAATCTTATCAACAATCTTCACCAGAATTCCATTAAGATATACCAATTATCAGAAGTGAAATTAACAGCGATTCAACTATATTTCAACTTTAAAGCCATATTCATTGCAAAAAACATGTAAAAGGTAGATCCTTAAACATGCTTCTTGTTGGTAAACCCCCAAATGGGCCAATCCTAATTGTAGAATCCTGCAATGCTTCATTCCTTCTAACATGCATTCAATGTTTCAAATGGCTTCTTGAGCATTAATGTCGGTTATTTATTTGTAGAGTTTCTTTTTGTACTAGTTCTCAATTTTTAAGTCTTGTTTGCTTCTTTTCTTCTTCAAACATTTTAGGTGTTTTTCAATTCTTCTAAAACTCATCATAATTTCATGATTATAACTTGCTAAATTTTATCGTCTTTTAACACAAACATTTTTCCCTTTCTTTCTTGTTCTATAAGTGAGAATCTTACAATGCCTGTCCTAGCCTATCATTCGTTCCCAAAGATTCTCATTGATCCTGTCAAGTATCCCCGTCTCTAAAACCTAAAACATGCTCAACAATGATATATCAGTCATTGTTAACTTGTTAAGGTGTGCGTGCATCTCATGAAATTGAAACTACTCGGTCATGTCTTACAAATGATTCCAGTTTGTTCTTCATGGCATCACTATGCCAATGTCTCTAATCATTATATTAAAATCAAAAGAGATTGACATATGCCTTTTCTCAAGTGGCCACACGTCAAAGATGGTCCTGTGCCTTCACTGCTAGGTTAGGTGACCACAATGAAAAGATTCTATTCCTTGGGACATAAAGATTTTGAGCAATCCATCTATTGGGGGTAGTGTGAATCCTGATAAATACTAAACACTAACCACTCGACTGCGGATCCAAGTTACAAAATTTTGAGTAAGGGTACTTCTGGTATTTCATATTTATGGTTTGTATGTTGCATCTCTGTGTATTGTACTGTAATTTTTTTCAGATCATAGTGTAACAATGACAGTGGATGTGTAGCCTTATTTTGGGGTGAAACACGAAAATCTGTGTGTTTTTGTGTGCTTGATTTGGATTCTTGTTCGATTCCTATTTGTGTTTGGTGTCTCGCCAACCTGGTTAGGTGTGTCAATTCCTAGAACCATCAAGATATTCAATTCAAATGACACTTCACTTCAAAGAGCACAAGTACTAATAGAATTCATGCCACACCATTTGATTTTGAATTCTTGCATAATTTTCACACCTAGGACTCAATTAAATTATAGAAACACGCATGTCCTAGATTTCAAAAGACAGTAATACAATTTAGAACAAAATGATATGTAATCAAAAGAACCTACCTTTAGGCCATTGAGCAAGGATGCTTTCCTTCAAGGTTGTAACACTTGTGGCAGCAGGAAAGCTTTTCGGGCCAATGTCCGACCCATCATTCAACCGGAACTTGATCTCTAGCTGATCTTGCACTGCTGACATCCTCCAATTTCCTCACAGATTCTCAGTATCCAAACACCACGAATTTCACTTGGGATTTCTTGAAAACAATCAATCTCCAACACCTCAATTTGAGTTACTTTTGAGAAATCAATCATACACTGACTAAAACCAAGTGTTTATTCATTATAATCCAAATCCCTCCCTGTGTACTCTGGAAATTGAATTTAGAAATGAAAAACAATCTCTAAGTTAAATTTGAAATTAAAAAATGAATGAACATCAATCTAAATTTAGAGAAAAAAATGGAAACACTGTCAATAACAAAAAAATATGTGAATTCTGAGCTCTAACCCCAAAAAATATGTGTCTATCAAAAACAAAATGAACTAAACTCCATATTTTGATTAAAAAAATTAAAAATGAAAGCTGGAACAAGAGCATAAACACACACACAGAGACAAAGTAAAAAATTTAAACATGACACCACCAAATCTTGAAATGGGTATTGTCAAATTCAAAAAAAAACCCACTCAAAACTTTAACTGGGTCAACTCCAAATCAAACAAAATGTCAAACAAGACTCAAACCATAGAATCATATACACAGATCTTTAAGTGGGTATTCACCAAATCAATCAAAAAAATCAATAGTTCATTCACAAACCTTCAGTAACTGATCTGGGTCCTTTCTTTTTCGTTCAAAAACTCCAAAGAAGAAGAAGAAGACAACAAGTGTACTAGTTAAAAAAAAAAAAATTTAAAAAGGTATAATGAATAATAAAAAATAATAAAAAGAAAAAAAAAAGTCAGAAGTGAAAGAGGAAAAGATCAAAGAAATCAGCAGAAACGAGGCAGTTGCGGAGTTTTCAAAGTCTTTTAAATCTGAGGTCAATGAATTCATCCTCCTACCTCTATGGAAAATTCGACAAATTTATTTCATTGAAGAGTCTCGCTCGCTGTTTTTATGCATCATCTAAACCGTAATTTCGTAATGTGGACCCGCCAATCAGATTGACTCACACAATCTGACGGTTAAATTTTGATTTTAAGATTTTGGGAAATTGATAAAAAAATATATATATGTAATAATAATTTTAGATTTTTAATATAACTGCAAAAATTATTTGTTTGAAATTGATTTGTTATATAAATAAATTAAATTTTAACACATTTAAAACACCTTAAGTGTTGTTTATTCAACTTAATTATATGTGAAATAAATTTCTTCAAACTTTAAAATCATACATTTAAATTTGTAACTCAAAAAAAAAAAAAAATACAAGCACTCCCTTTTAAAAGGTTGAAAATAATGCAATTTTATAATTGAAAGAGTCTTCAATGTACAGTTCTGAAATTATGGAGAATATAGTGATATGATATTGATATTGAGGAGGTTTCTGTAAGTTTAAATTAAGTTGCCGTTTGGCAATTAATTTTTTCAATTGACTTTTTAAATTTTTAGTTATTTTAACTTAGGACTAAAAGTTTGTTTGATTTGACATTTTTGACTTTTGTAAGAGAAAAAGTAAAATGATTATAATTTGAATATAACATTTTATCTTATTGACTTATTTTGTCTTTTGTACTTTTTTAGTCAAAAAGCTAAAGCGAAACATACCCTGAGAGTATCAACCAATAAAATTAGCCTTGTAAGTGAGACTAATCCAATCCTTACCTCATTCAATTAAGCGAGTACAGATTATCTTTATTAGGAAAGCAAAATGCCAAAAGGGTTCAATCAAGTGGAGGGCTAACTAGGCATTTTCTGTAAGTCTTAAGCACATCGCAATTTGCAACCACACAAAAACCTTGAAATATCGGAACCACCAAATCCCTTTCTTTCATATGCTAAAATATTACAACTCGTAATTATGTATTGTATTAAAATGTATTTCTTTGCCATCTGCCAACTTAGCAAATTCCACAAACAATGTTATTTTTCGTAATTTTAAAAAAGTAACCATGCATTGTTTAATCAAACAACTCCTTTGAAGAAAAAAAAGAGGACAACTTATTGAGGAGATTATTTTATTCCTACAAGGACATATCTGACTGTCCAATGTTAATAAAATAATAATGATGTGTTAACAAAGTGTTTCACAGATTAGTAAAGTTTGGATGGAAGCTGCTGATGTCTGTATGTATCCCTACAAATAAACCAACAGAAGAGTTTTCTTCACAGGAAATTTAACCACTAAATTTGTGGAATCTAAACTGTGATTGCTCAAAATCAGACACAAATATTTTTTGACAAAATAAACAGAGCACAAGAGTAAGAATTGGATGAACGGCAAATCAAAAAAATGGTCAAAAGAATTTTCTGCACATTTAAAATGTTTCTCATGAATCGTACATAACAAATAACAATATATAACCTAAGAACAGTTCCCCAACTCAATGGGACCTGTAACAGAGATAGATCTACCACCTAAAATCGATGATCAACATATGAAAATCCCCAAAAAAAAAAAAAAAAAAAAAAAAAACTGAAACAAAATATGAAAAACAAAAAACAAATACATTTCCGAGGCTACTGGGGCTAATGTGGGATCCTCGAAAGAGTTGGGTCCTAACTTCCTTCTCCTGTGTATCGATGAAGGCATATCTGCATAGGGTATGTTTCCTCATGTGTATTCCCCATTATTTCATATTCTAGTTGCTAAGCACTAAGAATCGGCTAGACCCCCCCTCAAGAAGATCAAAAAAATGTCCTTTTTTCCGACCAAAAAAAAAAATATACCATGGATTGATTGCTATGTTACAGACTGAAAGAATGACTTGCATGCCCATGCTAGCAATGCAGCTACACGAGTGGACAGAAGAGAATTTGGACCCTGAACCATATGGGCCAATTTTCTGTTTCCCTTGTCAAATGAATATCAACAAAACTCTCAATGTGTGAATGAAGCTTGTGCAAGCCCCATATTGCTTTCATATTCTTTCCCAACTTTCTTGTTTAATCTCGTTTAGTTGAACTACTACTACTCCAAGATGTGGCAATTCCTAATAAAATCGTTGGAGTAATTAACATACTTGGTCCAAAATGGCCGCAGATGCTCAAAGCCTATCTGCAGCCACGGTTTTGACTGGCCATTGTAGTGAATAACAGCAGCGTTTCTCACACTCTCGATGTTTGTTTGGTTCTGATAGCCCAATCCAAGCATGTGCCAAGATGGGTCGATAGCCTTAACATGGCCTTTAAATGCAATCAACGCTGGTGGTAGAGTTCCCAGCTTCCACATTGCCAAGTTTGATTTCAGATTCTGCAAGAAATGGACATTATGCATGTGTTACTTGCCAAGCATTCCAAGTTAATGTTTTTTAAAAGCTAAACACGAGACCACTAGAAAATCAGTATTGACTACAAACTAGATACTTATAGAATTAATGTAATGTCATTGATTGCATAGAAGGGAAGCACACAATATGATGAAACTTCGAAGTGGAACAATTTTAACATGGCTTTAAAACAGACTGCAATGTGATTTCACCAAAATTTTGGATGACGTGCTTATTTTGTCAAATGAAATGAATTGCAGGATACATAATACATTACATAGTGTCCATAAGTTGATGGCGAAGCCTTAACACTGTAAGAGATGATTTTGTAATAAAACTCCCTCTTTTCACTACCCTCCATGCCCCAACATAGAACACAAAACAAGACCGAGCCACTGAATAAAGGAATGACAATAATGAGATTTAGATTTTGACAAACAGCGCGGCAGATAAAAAAGAAGTCATTCTACTCCCCAAGGGAAACTTCTCTGCTATACAACTCGAACCCACAAAAGGGTAATAGAAGAAAAACATATTCACAAAAGATTGACATATAAACAAAGTACTTGAAATTTACCTCCTTCAGCCAGGCATGATAAGTGTCTCTTATATTCGTATTTCTCCATGCATATAAGTCAAAAATGTTCATCCCATAAGCCCATGCACATTCATCAGGGTTCAAATGCTTTGCTATGAGGGGGTGTGAAAAATTGAAGTAGTTCCTGAAATGCTTAGACATTACCCACTCATCTTCACCGTTGCAGGTTTCTACAGCTCCATTAACCTTTCCACCAAGGTCAATTTCCCAGAGTGGAGAAAGATCACGCTGAACTACAACATCATCATCTAAGAATACCACCTTGTCAAGGTTTGGAAATAGCTGTGCAACACAAGTAGACAGCATAGTCAATACTTTCAACCAAGGTCAAATAATAGTGTTTTCATTTCTTTGAAACAATTGGTTACCTCTGGTAAATATATGCGAAGATGGTTGAGTAATGAAATGTACTTTGGGCTTCTAGCCTGCAATTTTGAAGCAAATGTTCGCGGAGTAGTCTCACTGAGGTTGGCCCCAGCAATATGATTCCCATGGTAGTAATTTCTAATCCCATTATGGTTTTCTACAGCTTCAAGAACTGGTACATTCTCTCTTGTTAACCAGTCAAACTGATGAACACCTTTTACTTCAACAATAGCTGGTGAGATGGGATTTAGGGCAAACCATGAGTGCATGCCAGCATATGTTTTCTTGTCAGTGATGACATGGAAAACTACCTTTTCTGGCTTTAGAAATGACTGGACAGTAGATGTGACCACAACTGCAGCAGCTAGTATGTTATCAGTTGACAAGATAAAGTGGTAATATGAGTTGTTTGAAAGCGAAGGGAGTAATTCTGGTGAGGGCAACTGTCTGCGTGCATGAGCATTAGAAGAATACTCATCCGTCAAACGCAGAGAGAGACAGTGGATGCCTTTAGGAATGGAACTTGCGGCGAAGTGTTTGTTCATTAGTTCAGAGAATTTTGATTCCCGGATCTCCCTCTCAGATCTCTCCATCTGTGCAAAACAAAAACTCTTTAGCTGAACCATTGAGTGCAAAACACAGTCAGACCAGAAGAGATTAACAAAAGATGCATTGAAATAACATTTTTCTCTCCTTTGTATGCAAACACGTGGAGGATGTGCCTTAAGCATGCAAGAATCAAAGTTGCAAGGACATATGCATAAAACTTGAATATAAATTTTTTTAAAATCAACAATAATTTTTATTTTTTATTTTTGAAAAGCCCTTTTCCATGCGCATGTATTAATAATGTTACAAGCTGGGAACAAACCAATCTCTCTCTATCTCCACCCTCCACTACCAAGTTGTCCAGGCACATGCAGTCATATCAAGAGATACAACAGGAATACAGGACCTAAGCTTCTTGAGATGTTTTCCTGGCCATCTCATCTAACATTTGGGGCATCTTCAATCTTCTTTGCTAAATATTAAGCTCAGCACTTACTTTCGTTAAAAAATAAAGGCAGTACAAACATTAAAAGTTCATTTGGCATGACTATGAAATGATATGTATTTGTATCTCATGAAGCGTAGAATTGTCTTTTCTCATATTTGAGTTGGAATAAGTGTACCTTGTAAATAATTAAAAGCCCCATCGTAGACCTAGTTCTTAATCAAAACTAAGGTTTTTTTTTAGTTGTGAAGCACACTCAGACTCCCATGTTTGCACAAACCAAATATTTCTTTATTATAGTACATACAATAGTAGATAAAAGTTTTCATATTTAAATACACTAGAAACCAAATAAGCTTGATAAATATCTAAGGGTAAACACGTCGCCCTCCAATCCCGAACTGAAACCAAATAAGCTTTGATAAAAAGAAACTGGCTGTGAAAATCTATCTATACACATACACCAAAACTATAACCATGAAAAAATAAGCCCTTGTGTCCCAGTGGCAAAAAGCAAAAAACTAGAAAATAAAATAAAACACAAATGAGAAACAAAAGAGAGGGGGGAGGAACTTTATGCTGAGATAACTAGAGGTTACTCATTTGGTTCAGTTCAGCTTAAAAGCCAGCTTTTTAAAGGGTATTTTTGGTGTTATTATCGTTTTTTTCAATAAGCATTCTCTTTCTATTTTACTTTATAGCTGCTTTTAGGTTGGGCTTTGGAATTTTTTACCAAAATCTAAAATTGAAACCCATAAGGAAAAAAAAAGAAGAAAAAAGAAGGCGACGAAAAAGCTCAAAAACCTGGTTCTGAATGAATCCTTAAACATAGGGAAACGAGATTCATAACATTATTAGTCTTCTTTACTTTGTCCTTTTATCTCTTTATTATTATTATTTAATTAGTCTTTTAAGGAGTTGACAGTCTGCCACCCAAATATCTTCCAAACTCCACTAGGATGCTTAATTGTTAAGGAGAATTCATTGCGGTGCTGCAAAATCTTAACTGCCAAGTTATACCCTCTTTATATCTAACCATGCAATAAATTCTTTTAGGACCTCATCTGATCATGATAGCTAAATCTGGCGGGTTTTGGAAGGTTCTATCATAGGGCATTGCAAAAAGAAACATCACTATAAAATGGCATTAGTCTATGTAAACAACAACAGCACCACCAGCTCATAGATACGCTGTGGGGAGAAAAAGGATATGAGAAGGAAAGAAAGAAACATATTTCTAGGCCACACCACATACCATTCCCTTTAAGATCAAAGCAAAGTCCTTCGCATTGTACTTGTTGTTTTTCATTTCAGAAACAAGTTGACTAAATGACTCTGGTAGCTTTAGGCCATCTGGAATTTCGTCAGTGCCCACTTGATTGAGAACTTTGTAAAAGTCATTAACCAGCCTCTGTTGCAACGCCATCGAGACAAAAGATTCAGTTTAAAAAACCAAAAATACCTTAAGAGAAAACATTGGTTGCAAATAAAAAAACTGCATCAAGTGGGTATTATCTGATCTTTTAGAAAAAAGCATGAAGAAAAGAATAAAAATGTTATTTACCCCTGAATCATCAACCCTACCAAGAAGCCTCGGTCCCAACCGCCTACCTAAACAATCTGGAGCACAAAAGAAAAAAAAAGAAAAGAACCAATGATTTGCTTTTCAATGATTTGATTTTGTAAAGAAAACATATATGGCTATAGGAAAAGGTTATGGACACTAACAAACTTGCGCCCCAGTGGGCCAAAGTAACTTTGTTAGTGTCTCTAGCAGCGCTGAAACATATATGCAACAAGAGACCCAGAAGAAAGCAATTATGCAATGAAAGCATAATAAAAATAAAACTTACCAAATCCACTGATACCCAACACACTTTAAAAATAACATGCTCCCATCCAAACAAATACAGAGACTAAAAGCAAGCCACAAAAAGCAACTACAAGGTTTTCATACAAGAATTCAGAAGCTGAACGTTCAAAATACTGTACATCAAAAGAAAAGTAGTTGCCACTGGATACTAATTCATTAAGATAAAATTGGCCAATCACCAGTGAAAATAAAGTAAAATGGAAAGGGGTTTGGAAGGGATAGAATAGCCATAAAACAGACCCAACAAAGCCAAAATGAACATAGATCCATCAAGCCAAAATGGAGAAGTTAATACACAATATTGAGCCAAGATATAAAAAAAGGGCCAAAAGACATTTCAGTTTTGAGAGATCTACAAAAAAATGCCAAGGCAACCCCAAATTACAGTAACCACCAAATAAATATGGGATTGAATCAAAATCAGATTCTTGACATACCAAAAATAAAATAAAATATTCTAATTACAAAATCTATGACTGAAGTTTTATGTGTGCAAAAGCTGCATGAGTTCGGCCAATCAGATTTTAACCTAAGTATAACGTAAAATATTTAAATAGGTCTACCCACTTTTCCAACAATAAGTTTTTTTTTCTTTTTCTGTCAAACTGCATTACCCAGTAACTCATTTCTCCCCCCATAATACAAACCCAATTCGTAAATGGTTCAAGCAAATTAATTTTAACAATAAGCTAATTTTATACAAAAATTAAAAACCAACTACCCAGAAATTCAATGTGAAAATTATCATAAAATTCTTACATTACAATTACAAAATACCTTAAAAAATTAAAATATGTTTCATAACTTAAGTTTTAATATGCTATTGACCATATCAAATGAATAAATAACTTACAGCGATAGAATTATGTTTGAATTAACCAAATTCAGGTCTTCACAATGTAAACAACTAAAACTAAAATAACCTGATTAATGAACCAACTTCTGACAAAGGAGAAAAAATATATATAACACAAATTGGGACAGATGATTCGCACTAATTTACCCAACATCAAAAACACAAGATTCATGTATAAATTAGATTTGAAAAATTCAGCGGTACAATTTACCATTGCCAATGCCAAAGCATTTTTTTTTTTTTAAATACAGATTTGGATTTATGTGCAGTCCAAATAACCAAATTCGAATCTCCTGCACTCTAAACTATTAGATAAACTGACGAACATCAAAATTTAAACACCCAGAGAGCGAAATAATAAAATTGACAGGAAGAACCAATCTAATTTGAAAGCAAAAAAAAAAAACCCAATTCAATTTCAATCAAATCAAACCTACAAATAGCAAGAAGACCGACATCCATGTCTTAAGATAAACCAATCATATATTCGTAGTGTAATTAACATTTCAACGCAAATCGAGATCTATGCGATGCAGTCAAAAGCAAATCAATTTATATGCAATCACATACTAGAAGCAATCAATGAATATGAATATGAATGAAAGAAGAGATTTGTGTACCGAATGAGGAGCACTTGTTGACACCTTCAAGGGTAACGAGAGCGGTGAGAATGAAGACAAAGGGCAATAGAAAAGCAAGGATGAGGATGGTGTGGAAGAGTGTACGGTAAGAGATATGGCGAGCTGCGACCTTGATCTTCATCAAGTCAATAAACCCATTGCTGCTCGATATCGTTATGCTTTTCATACTAGGTGAGAAGTGAAGCTGCATCGTCGCCTCTGCAGCCCCTCCTCAAAAACCCTAGAATCACCGCAATTCTCTTCCGAAACCGCCCCCAAAACTTTCACCATCAGATCCACCACCGCAATACTCTCTCCAAATCAACAACTCCGATGATGATGATGATTCTATTGAATTGGTCTTTTGGGTCTTTCTCCAAGACCAATGCATTGGGTTGAAGATTCAACGAATTAGGGTTCTTTATATACACACATACACACACATATATATAAATATATATATATATATATATATCAGATTTCAAAATTGGGGATGACGAAATAATGAATCTCAGAATATAATGTTCTCTGATGATTGCTTCTCTCTTGATGGATCGGAATAGCGAACTTAGAGAGAGAGAGAGAGAGAGAGAGAGAGTATAGTTTTCTCTCCCTGTGAATTGCTTTTTGATTGGTCGATCAGTCCGATCAATTATTTTTTGTTCTTTTACTTTACGAATTAAAAAAAAATTAATTTTAAAATTTTAAAAAATTAAAGGAAAATGAAATTGAAATTTCTGAGTCAAAACCGTGTTGCAGTAGAGAGAGAAAGAAAAAGGCAAAATGGCATCGAGAGAGAAAACGAGAGAAAGTTCAGTTTAGATAGAGAGAAAATGGATTTGGAGTGTAGAGAGATGGAGAGAAACGTGGGGGGAGGTTTGACCTTTAATTTGGAGCTAATTTTAGATCTCTGTCCTAACTTTATGGAGGAGAGTATTTGGCTTATGAGTGAGATGAGATTAGGTTTACTTATATTTTTAGGTTGTGAAAATTAAAATCTAATTAATCTTTTCGACTTGAATTTGGAATTTTTTTTTTATTCAATGGCATTATTTACAGTATAAAAAATTATAATTGAACAATCATATATAAATTCAATAATTATAAATTACTATCGCGCTAACTTGTCAATTAATAGTTCAATAACTAACTTCTATAATGTAATAATTCTTTTAAAAAAGAGCTCTGTAGCAAGAAATAAATAAATTACACACCAAATCCTCATAGTATGGGGGAAAATGAGCTTCATAATTGAAAATAAATCATAATAGGAAAGAAAAAATGAGCCTCATAGCCGAAAATAAATCATAATAAAAAAGAAATTATTTAGATCGGAAGTGGTTCTATACAATAAATAAATTTCTCTAGCGGTCATCAATACAAGTTATTGTCGACAATTAAAGGTGGCCGCCAACAACTAGAGCGGCGGTCAAAAGTGATGGTGTTAGTTGGAGATAGTGAAATAATAAAACTTGATTTAGCATAATATTGTCTCCAAAAAAAAAAATTAGCGTTCTTAATAACTAATATAAAATATTTTCTGAGGAGCTTAATAAAAAAAATTCCTTTTTTAAACATGTATCATAAATTATAACAAAAAATGCACGATATATATTTAATTTTTTTTTATTTTTTTTATTTTTTTAATGCATTAGTGCTATTAGTGGTGATGTTTTTAGTGGGATGAATCATTATTGTTTAGCATAATATTGTCTCCAAAAAAAAAAATTAGCATTCTTAATAACTAATATAAAATATTTTCTGAGGAGCTTAATAAAAAAAATTCCTTTTTTAAACATGTATCATAAATTATAACAAAAAATGCACGATATATATTTACAGCATAATAACGTCAATAAGTTGAAAGCCAAAAAGCCAACCCACTTCCCAAACGGAGGCTAGTATTTCATACAAATTGATTGTTAATAATTAAAAAATGTAAATAAAAAATTTATTTTTATAATAACTTGTAGAAACTGCAATAAATATTTCAACATATATTTCTAAAATTATATATATATATGAACGGTTTGAGAGTGGGTTTGGCAATTATTTTTTAATATTTTTTGTCATTAGTTAATTTTTTTATTTAAAATTCAAATCCTATTAGACAACACACACTCGGAATAAGAAGAAGAAAAAAAAGGAAGCTTTTTTTTGATAAATTCTCGTTCTAAAAGTTTTATTCCATCAAACTCATATTCTTTTTTATTATTCTGTTAGGTTCTATTTAAGGGAAGAAGACTAAGAGTTGGTTTGGCAAGGGCTCATTAGGCTTTTTTGGTTTAATAAGCCATAAAAGACAGAATAGGCTCATGAGCCACAACAGACAAAACATCTCATCCAATCCCATAATCATTACACTCTTCTCTCACAAAAAAATCAAAAAAGCCAAAAGCCCTCCCCAAACTAAGCTTTTGAGTCCAGGCTCATATAGTCAAAAAAGTCAAAAAGTCAACCCACTTCCCAAACGGAGGCTAAAACGCTCTTAATCTCTCATACCCCCTATTAATGTTGATATTTAATATTGATTGTCATTATATAATGTTGATATTTAATATTGATTGTCATTATATTTTGGTAGTTTCCATACATTAAGATGTTGTCATTAAATTCATATTAATTTGAAATTAATTTTTGTCATTGTGTTATCAATTACATGATGTGAATATTCACATCATGTAAATGAAAAGAATATTCACATCATTATATTTACATTAATTTGAAATGAATTTTTGTCATTGTGTTGTCGATTACATGATATGAATATTCATACTAAAACATACGAATATAAACGTTCACATTACTACATTAGATGAGAGAGAATGTTCACATGTTATAAATGTTCAAATGTTATAAACATTCAGATCACTACATGTTGTGAATAATAATGTGTTGTCAATTAAAAATATAATGAATATTATTTTTAATGTGTTGTCAATTAAAAATAAGAAGGTTCACATGCTGTAAACCTTCATATCACTACATTAGATGGGAGAGAATTTTTCGGAAAGGTGTTGTGAACGTTTATATCAGATGAGAGAGAATGTTCACATTATTTTTAATGTATTGTCAATTAAAAATATATTCACATCAGATGAGAGAGCATGTTCAAATTATTTTTAATTTGTTGTCAATTAAAAATATATTCACATTATCTAATAATACAAAATAATAACATCAATCTTATTTAATTTGTGTATGAAATTTCCTATGCCTTAGTCATTTCCCTTCTCTCTCATCCCCCAACATTAAATGTCAATATTAAGGGGTTATTTGGAATGACCTAAATAAGTGTACTTTTTGTCTTTTTACGAAAAGATGTGCAAAAAAGTAGAGAGATGGTGTGATAGAAAAAAGATAAAAAGATAAAAAAATAAATTATTTTTGGGTTGCCAAACTTGGCCTAAATCTAAGGGCATAAGAGTCTAAGAAAGATTAATGCTTCGGACCCCCAGTGAGGTGGCATGTGGGTGATTGGGTAAAAAAAAAACTGTTTTATTTTTATTTTTTTTTTGAGTTTCGACCAGTGGGGGCACGCCACCTCACTGGGGGTGCGACCCCCACTGGGGGTCTGTAGCGGTTCTGGTCTAAGAAAATAGTGTAAATAAAAAAAAAAGACTTTATAGAATAAAAGTATAAACACATGGGACTAAATGGGTTAAAAAAAAATTTTATGACTTCTTGAATTAGAACACTTCTAAATGGGATTTATCAATAAAAATTCAAAAAAAAAAAAGACTTAAGGTTGATTTTTTTTAATGGATTTTTTAGATTTTTATTTTAATTACTGTAAAAATTTTCCAGACTAGATGAAAAAAAAAATAAATAAATAAATAAAAGGATTTGATACAAATTAAAACAATAACTTAAAAATAAAAAATAAATTGACAATCTCAGTATTTGCCAAACGAAACTGCACCAAAAAAAGACTGGGTTTAATTGAATTAAATACTGATGTTCCGTGGCACGGTTCCGTGCTAGGCAAGGTTTTTATTTTTTAAGAATAAAAAAAAATGATATTTTAATGTGTTATTATTGTATCTGTGGCCCTGGTTTTAAGATCTCGTTTGGGAATAAGTTATTTTAATAATTTTTTAATTAAAATATGATGTAAAAAAAATTTAATAAGTTTGAGATGATTTTTTACGAAAAGATATGAAAAAAAAAGAGAGAAATCTTTGATTTTTTTGTATAAGTTGTTGGCTTTTTGATTTTTTTAGTGATTTTTTGACTTTTTGACTAAAAAATAATATTATCAAACAAGGCCTAATATTCGATTGTCAGCCTGATTTGACTCAATCTATTGGAAAAGATCCACCGTCGAAACATTAATGGAGATCAACCATATGTCACAAACGAGCATAGGTTTCGATTGGAGTATAGAGTGAGTTCTCCGTAGAGAGCCAGCAACAAAATAACAAATTCACCCCATCCTAATATTCAAACCCGAGTCACATTTGTAAAGAAGAATGTCTTCTTCACTAGACCACTACCTCTAATGTGTGCTAGGTGAGGTTAAGGCAACCGGGGGAGTTTTAAGAAAAATGTGTCACTTTTTGTCAATATCTATTCATTTATTTTTTACCAAACAAATAAAAGAAAATTAGGCCAAGCTAGGAAAGTTGAAAAAAAATTAAAAAGTCAAAAAATTACTCAAAAAGTTAAAAAGTTATCACTATTTACCAAAAGTCAAAAATTACGACTGCATAACTCTCGATCCTAATTTTTTCCTACACACTAATTTATACAATTTTTTAATACACATTTTTTCATAAAAAGTTAACCCAAACATCTATATTTTTTTCTCAATTTTTTAGTCTAAAAAGACAAAAAGTACATTTAAGTTTGGCATCCTTCAAAAAATCTAAAAAGTCAAAAAGTCACTATCCTATTTAAGTCACATCATCTTATTTAAGTCACATCATCTCTCTAACACATCACTTCAAACCCAACCCAAATCCAACCCATATTTCATAAAAAGTCAAAAAGTGTACTTATTTAGTCTTCCTAAACTTTGAGAGAGAGAGAGAGAGAGAGAGAGAGAGAGAGAGAGGGTGTGTTTGTTAAGAATGAAAGAGACGGTTCATTTGAATTTTCTAGGAACCATTGAATATGAGCCTGAAATTCAGCTACTGTGTTCCTTTCAGCACATAATCACTATGACGAGTGATTCCAATGCCAATAAGATTGGCAAAATTTTCTCATTTAATTGTAGTAGTGAAAATCCGTGTTATGTATGAGATGTAAAAAAGTTAATGAAATATATTTATATAAAATAATATAAATAGTTAGATTTTAATATATAAATTATGAAAATAAAAAAAATATTGAAATCTACCATTTAAGTTTTATAATTTTATCACAATTTATGTATTAATTTTTAATTTGTCACAGCTTCAATCATGTAACCTTTTAGCCCTCCTATTAAAGTTGTAAATTTAGACGAGTTGAATCCAAGCAATTGGAATCAAGCCTGTAAATTATTAAAGATTAGGCAACATAATTTTTAATTCGGTGAGAATTTATATAAAATTCAAAAATTCGACTGAATGTAAATGGGCATGGGTAGAGACACCAAATAGCTTGAGTAATAGAACAAAATTGTATATATAAATATATAAAATTAATTGCTAATTTTTTTTAAATAATAAATAAGATTAATTAAAAAATCAATATTAATGAACAAAAGCAAATACACTTTTAGAAAGGGGTCAACAAATAAGTTCATATTAAAAAAAATAACATTTTATAATGGCATAAAATAATTTAAATATGGCTTTTCAAAAATTATTTTTAA